TTTCCTGGCTACTGGTGCCAAGAGTTTTGACCGTGGAGCCGAGCAAACTGAAGCTGTGAACAATCTCAATCTCTTCGCCATCCATCCTGATGCTACCGATTGTCTCAGTGATGAGAATTTTTGTCTTCTTGACATTGAGCCTCAGTCCATATTGAAGGCTGCAGTCCTTGACCCTCTGCAGCAAGTGTATGAGGTCCTCCTCAGCTTCAGCGAGCAGGGTTGTGTCATCTACATAACGCAGATTGTTGATAGATCGTCCACCAATCCTTTCATGAAAGACATAATTATTTTTTTTAAATATCTTGCATATTCTATTGTATATTTGAATAAGTGAATATGTTTGAGTACTTACTCAAATACAAAACAGAAATTCTAAGATATTTTTTAAAAATCATGTTTATCAAGAATGTTTCATTGTGTTGAGTCAGTCAGGTTTTTTGGGATGTGGGTTTTTTTTGGGGGTTCCAGTCAAGTCACCTCAAACTTATGTACATAATCTTATGTACAACAGAGCAAAACCCTGCTTGGTTTTATATAGTCTTCACAGGATGTGGTTAATTTCATAGTTTCAGGTCCTGTGTCACTCCATGGTGTTCAGGGTCCTCCCTTCTCTGACTTTCTACTTTTCCAGCATGATGTCTTCTTAAAAGACTGTAACTTCTTCATAATACAGTCAAAGAATGTGAGATGATGTCTCACCTTTCTTGCTTAAAAGAAGGACCTTGATTACACTTCTTTCAAGACACATTGATTTTGTTCTGTTGGCAGCATGAAGCACATTCAATACTCTTCACAAACACCACAATTCAAAGTTATCTATTATTTTTCAGTTTTTCTTCATTGTGACACATTTACAATAATATGAAACAACTGAAAATACCAGGCACACCTTAGTCTTTAAAGTGACAACTTTCCTAGCCAGAACTTTACTTAGATCGTTGGCAGTAGATTTTTCCCAATGCAATATGCCTTAGCTAATGTTTTTATGGGCTTTGACTGTGGATTCAAGTTAACAGTCTTGAAAACAATGAATTTTCCTCTGTTTATTATGATAGTTTGGCCCAGTTATGAAAATGTTTATTTCTTCTCTGTTAAGATGTAATTCATACTGAAAACTAAGTACTTTTTTCAAATCCTTTTCACTTTCATCAAGCATGAGTCAGTATAAGTCCAATGAAAAACACCTCACCAACAAGAAAATCTTCCTAGGGTAATTCACTATCTTTTTCTAAATTAGTATCTTAGATGTGCCACATAATATTATATTGTATAACATTATTAGTGTTAGTGTTATAATTTGTTAAACATTATTTATTAAGCCTGAAATTTAACCCTAAATTCCAGTAAAGTGTCAGGTAAAAAATGTATCATCTAGATCTCCAATGGTTATTTCCTTTCTTGTTTATCTTATGCCATCTGCTTTCTTGATTATATTTTTCATTTAAAAATATCAAAAAAGAAGTTCACCGGAAGCAGCAATGATTCATTGACCTTACAAATGTGTGATAATTGTGTTAGAGTTGCTCCTGGGGCTTCAAAGAGTATGCAATTGCTTTACATGCTCTTAGAATACCTTTCTTGCTTACCCTTATAGCTACAAAGGCTAGTACAGAAGGGATATTCTATAAATATTCCTTGAATTTCTCAACACACAAACAACGTTACTTATTAATATGTCTGACATACCACCTCTTTTTCATTACTCTTTCCATCAGGTTTTCTCTTTTCTTCTTCTTCTTTCTTCTTTTTTTCAGCTGCTTCCCTTTCCCTGAAAGTAAAGATGGAAAGAACATCTTTTATCAAAGTGAAAAGGATCTTGTTAGTGGCTGCAATATCTGTTTAAAAAAATGTCTTTTCCTTCAAACTGATAAATGACTATTTTTCATTTTTAACTCAACGACAAAAAGTTCACAAACATTCAAAAATTAAAGACTGTCCCAGGGCAACAAGTCCTCAGAGACTCATCCAGCTCCATGACTCCTGTATATCTGACACACATAAGAATTTGAAGTTTTGTTCTACATTTCCCCCCTTGGACAAGATTCTAAAGAGAATCTTTAACCAAAAATCATAGCAATACCTACTAGATATCATGCAGTGCTGGTAACATGGTCAAGAAAGTACTTGCTCATGAAAGCAATTTTGATACCTTTGATTACTTCCTCCACTTTCCCTTCTTTTGTGTGGATAAATAGCAATAATTGTATATTAGATAGCTGTTAGCAAATTTTAAGACATTACACACTACACAATAACCTAGGAAGTAGAACAGAAGCACTGAACATCTCGTCAGGCCAATTATAATGTTCTATGAAGCCATAAAAATATTTCTAAGAATACTTTGCTTTTTAAAAGACAGACATGACTATATTGCCATGGTGTTTGTAATAATGGGTGGAAGCATTTCAGAGATGATGAGGATGGTACAAGATAGAACAAGATTCAGTTCAGTTTTTCATAAGATCTCTATGCATTGGAGCTAGCACAACAGCACCTAAAATCAACAACAACATATTTATCTATCTGTATCTCTGTCTGAAAGAAAATCAACCATAGCAATGAGCATTATTAGCTAGAAAATGTATGTCATTTTGAGTGTCTTAATGGGAGGAAAAACTAGGAAAATGAGGGTGAGGAGGGATGCACAGCTCAACATAATCAATCTCACTGAAGCGTACATGCAGAAATTGTTGAATTGGTGTATGTTCTGCTGTATATGTTCTCAAACCAAGACTAAAATGCATTATACACATAAATCACTCCTTTAAAAAATACTCACAGTTTGTCTTTGCACATAGCACACTTATTGCCATGTGTCTTACCATCTGGACCTCGAACAGGATCACTCTCTCGGGTGCAGATAAGTTGTCCATCTTTCATTTGACTTCTATACTCATCACAGATATCCTAAAAAGTAGGAAAAATATATTTGAAAAAAAAGAGAATATATTTGAATGCTATTTTTACATAGGATTTTATTGTATTTGAAAATATAAGACTTAAATTTATTAATTAAAAGTGTTGACATATTAGATAGAATAATGGCCCCTAAAGATGCCCTCATGACCCCCATGAACCCTGTGAATATGTTCCCTTACAGAGCAAAGGGAAATCAAAATTAAACATGAACTTGTGGTTGCTAATCAACTGATCTTTAGATGTGATTATTCTGGATAATATGACTAGGCCCATTATAAACAGAAGAGTCTTTCTCCAAGAAAGATGGTTGTAGAAAAAGCCAGTGTCAGAGTGATATAAAATGAAAAATATGTGATAAGTCATTTTTGGCTTTAACAATGGAAAGTGCCATGAGCTAAGGAGTGTGGAAAACTTGTATAAGGTCGAAGTGTCCAAAAAGAAATTGAGTCTTGTGGGCATTTTTATTTTAGTTCAATAAAACCCACTCAAGACTTTGAATTCCAGAAAAGTAACATAATAAATGTGTACCATTGTATTGGATTGTAGCCATTTCTTACAGAAGCTACTAAAATTCACTGATGCCAAGCCAATTCTTAGGTATCTCCATACCTAGTTCAGAACAGAACTGTTCACAGAGTCTTTAATGGATGTAACCATATAGAATTGCAGCACCATGTCTGCCTTTGATGACATTGAAGGGCAGATGGGAAATGTCAGTCTTTTAGTTAGTACCCAAACGCAAAACAAACTGTATCACCCAGTGATTTCTATGGTGATTGTGGCTTTTGATCACATAAAATAAGGATCTTGATTGGCCACCTTGACACTTTCTTTCCATATAATTGATGATCACATTGGCTTACATTTTCTGATGCTGAATCAGTATCATTTGACCTGTCACCAGAATTCTTTTTTTTTTCATCTTCTTCTCTTTGCCTGGAAAAGACAAGAGTTGACTGTTAATGCATGTAGTAAGTATTAATACATACTTAGTATTTGAAATGATATTAAAATTTACATATCCTAAATTATCTCTTTCATAAAGAGTCTCTCTATATCTTCCAAAGATGAGGAGTCAGCTCTGTCACTGAAACCCTGGTCAAGAAGCATCTGTCACCACAATGTAGACAATCTTACAGATTTACTCTATGACATACAAAGTCCTTCTAGTGTTTCCAAATTTATTTCCTTATGTTATTTGTTATATGTTGTCTAATCAACTGTAACTATGACTCATAGCAACCCTATGAATAAGGGCTCTGAACCTTGCCCTATCCTGAGCCAACTTCACCATCCCTGACACATCTCAATTACGGTCTTCCTTTTTTGTGCCCAAACTCTTCCCCTCCACATATGATGCCCCTCTTCAAGGACTGGTCCCTTTCCAAGGACAGTTCCTTCCAAAAATATGCCCAAAGTATGTGAGACAGAGTTATTTCCTCATAGCTCTCAAGATTTGGTCTTCATTTCTCATCTGAGAAAAATACAAACTGTTGAACCCATTACTTCTTCAGTTATCAAATCCTTCAGATACTCGAAAACAAGTTTCAAGGTCTAATTTCTTCAGCTACATAGATGGTATACCAATTAAAGTATTTCAGATAACAGATGTTGCCCTGGATGTGCTCACCAAGTTGTGCCAAGAAATCTGGAGAACAACCACTTG